AGGGCGTGAGTGGTTTGAAGCTGCTCTTGCAGAAGCCTCCCTGGTTCGTAAGTCCGCTTGCCTCAAGGAGCCTCATGTTGCGTTCCTTTTTAAGGGGAGGGGGGTTTCAGGGCTTTCGGGCTTTAAGGGTTTAGGGGTTTAGGGTTTAGGGCTTAGCCATCTAGGATAGTAGTTTAGGTTTTTTAGGGTTTAGTTGCCTAGGCTACTCTTTGGGAGAGTATACGATTATTAGGTACTTGTACCCTCAGGAAAAAGAAACCCTACACATTAAGGTGGCCGCATAAATCCCTGTAGCGTAGATCTGAGGGGCTGCACGCCGACGGAATACTTGAAGCTGTTCCGCGATGCGGGCTATCGCGCCAAGAAGGATACGCATTCGGCGTCTGCTCGTTAAAACCAGCTCTCATGCGGGCTGTGTTACTGGGTGAGCAGCACTGCCTTTTCCTGGCTGGCTTTAATGTGCCATGAGTACGCAATACCTATAGTCTCCATTGTAATTGCGTCTGTGCTCAAATCCTACCAGGTAACTCAAGAAAGGAACTGCAATGACTAGAGGTACTTCGTTTGCTTTTGAGAGCGCTTGGATGTAAGTTGAGAGCTTAGTGTACACGCATAGTGCCGCCATGGATACTTACAAATGCGCTACAGATCTGACAGGTTCTTGTGTCGGCGTACCCGTTAAAGACATGCAGCATGCAGTGATGTGTCCGATGTGCAAAGCCCATAAGGCTTGAACAAACTCAAAGCCAAGGCTCAAAGACAGGTCTATGTCCTCCCCTAGGCCGCCTTGCGTCTACATGAAGCCAACCTTTTGGAAAGTCCTTGCTCTGGCATGTGTGGTTGCGAGTGCGATTGAAAGCAGTGATTGTGAAAGTGACCCGGGCGAGGATGACACTTCTGCACTGAGCCTTGCGATGCGGCGGTTTGGAGGAGACACAGACCAGGTCCGCCCAATTCCAATTAGTGAGGGCCTTGCGACGTGCAAGGGCGAGCACCATCGTGGTGATCACTGCATCTTTCCATTCATACTCGATGACGTGACCTACACGACGTGTACCTCCTATGGCCATCCAGGCAAGCAGTGGTGCGCTACCGAAGTAAACCACGAGGGCAGGGTGAAGAGGGGAATGTGGTGCTCGGAAGAATGTCCGCAGGATCGCCGTAACGCCATAGAGGCATGCAAAGCCGTGTCTATGAAGCCGGGGCGCTGCGGGGCCAAGAACAAACATGACACAGAAGCGTGCTTGGTGAATGCATGTCCAGCAAGATGCAAGAACCAAAGTACTTTCCCTTACCCTGGAGCATCACCTTCGTACTCTGCATTGACCGGATTTCCAGCCATGAACGATGGTATCCTGAAGAAGCAGCTGCACGCTGTGCACACCTTAAAGAACTTTGCTCCGGGTTTCACGAGAACACCGGAGTACTTTGACCTGTTGCACAGCACGCTCACCTACATTTGCTGCAAGACGGAGACTGAGGTAGCAGCGTATCAACAAGCACTCAGCTCTTTCAAGTTCAGCTGGCGGGATGTTGGAGCTGTGGAGTGGAAGGAAGTGGGATGCAGCTTGGATGACCTCACAGATCCAAGCATCATTTACTTGGAGGCCTTCGTGCCAAAACAAACCAACGAGAAGCTGATGCGCTTCGCTCACGGACTGGAAGAGCACATGGCCAAGCTGCTGGGTTGTTGTTCAGGAACTAAATTTGTCGCTACATTTACTATAGGTTCGCATTTCCCACTATGGTATCTTTAAATTCATGCTTTAACATGCTTTAAACACCCTAAACCCGAAGTTCCTAACATGAACCCAGGCTCGGATTTGCCGACTCGAATCCACGAGCTATTCCTTTTCATTTTGTGATCAGCATGCTCCCCGTGCAGCTGCCGGGTGGTCCAGCGCTCAACGCCGGCGACGCAATGAAGGCGCTCTCCAAGTTCGACTTCGGTACCACTTACTTCTGTGAGTTCTACTTTCTTGGCCTGCCTTGCCTCGGCTTGCCTTGGTGCCCGAACACCCAGGACCATGGAGATCCGGCCTTTGGCCTAACGGTGGTAAAGGCCACGGACTGGGACGACTGCCCTTACGGAAAGGATGCGGCTGGGAAGACAAGCTACATGACCCTTGGAGGGATCCGAATTATGGTCAAGGTGGTTCAGAATCGCTAGCTGAGCCAAATTAGCTTTCCACACCTTGCGGCGGTTCCGGCCCAGCAGAATGCTGAGTCTCAATCCTTTTTAGATCTGTCCTGGGGGCAGCAAGGTTTCAAGCAAGCAGTGTGAGCTTGCGCCCTGAACCTTTGCGCAGCTTGTCCCTGCTCGAGGATCTCGGTGTGTGAGGCCTTCTTCAACATAAGGGGGCCGACCAAAAAATTCGAGACTACCGGTAATTAGTGACTTTTAGGCTGTGGCCCAATACTCCAGAATTGCAATCATCGCAAGTCCATGGGGCGAAGGTTTTTAACAGAAGGGTCGGCTGTGCGACTAGCCCCAGCGAGATCTCGCGACACAGGGAGTTTTGGGCCACAGCCCTTCGGCCAGGCATGGCCTGTGTCCTTGTTTTTTTTGCCCGCTGCAGGCCACCTGTCTCCTACATCCTTCGATGCATCCTCCTACAGTATTCGTTTTTACCCAAAGTCTCATGTGTGTACAACGTGTAGATCCACTGCTCTGATCCAGCTATTCGAGCTCCTCCCATGTCGCTTAACATTGAACTCGTCAGGCCTGACAGAATCTTATGGTGACAAAGGACACCGTAAGCACCGCGGCGACCGAACCAGGCAAATGAAAGGCCAAAGACGAGATTCAGTGTCCCAGTGCTGTCAGCTTGGAACGGCACCGTGTGTATCTTGATCTTAGCGCAATTTGTTGCGGTGATGAGCCGTCCATAGAGGTTTGGGAGTGGTGCTGTGCTAGCAAGTCATTAGGATCAAATATAATGGCTGTGAAATTGGCAGTAATGGTTGGCCACGCTTGAAGCGATCTGGAGAGCGTCGTGCAGATCGGGTGCTGCAGCATGTCACTGGCTGCGTGCAGCTTGCATGGCTGGCAGGGTGACAGCTCAGATTAATCGGCTTCCCGGGTCGCAGCAGTTGCAAGTGTTCGTTTGAGTGAGCGCTTGAACGTGATTTGTTTCGTGATGTTCCGTGGCATGCTGCGTCCCTTGCCCGCAGCGGCATGTGGCTTGACGCGGAAGTTGGAGGCATATAGTGGGGGCCCGTATTCTGTGCAAGATGCGCGTGGATGGCTTCCAGCTACCCTGTACTGCCACCGCTGTCTTCGTGCTACACAATGTCTTTGTGGACACCTTCGTGGTCGGCGCCGGCACTCTGTATCAACTGAAGTGTCCTTTCACCACAGAACAGCGCCCGAAGATGGGAGGACGCTAGAGCCGGAGCCTCAACAACTGTTAGATCTTGAGGACACTGTGAGAGTACCGGTAGGCATCTATCGATGTTAGTATGCTCGTTTCTGCAGTACACGCAGGTCCTTTGCGCAAAGGTGGGTCTGGTCTTGGTCATCATTCGCTGACATGGGTTCTGTAAGCTGTGGGCGAATCGTTTTTGCGGGCAGGGCAGAGCAGTATCGTCGGTGTAGTCGCATGGTTGTATTCGTTTTGCTGGACTTGCTGCAAGCAGTAGTGCCAGTCCCCTTCGGTAAAATGAACGGTTTGGTTTGCACCTCGGTTTCTTCTGAAGCAATCTGGGACAGTTTTGGCAGTGCGCTTCGCTCGCGAGAACGTGTGTTAAGTTACTATGTGAATGTGGGGGCAGCGTGCTCTGCACCGATCAGGAAAAGCGGGGGTCGCACGTTTTCACGTCACGTGCGCGAGCTGGATGCGTGATCTGACTTTGTGCAGCTTCAGATGGAATCCATACATTCGGTGAGTTGGGTTCTTGTCACATGGCATGATGTTAGCAAGGTGGAATTGGCATCCGATTTCAATGAAACGTTCCTTGCGGCCTGAAGCTGGATTTGCTATGGTTCGTGCAAGGTGCAACTGCGCAGTCTGAATTGTCATGTTATCCTTAAGATGCTTGCCATGTTTACGTGACCCCGTACCGGCACTGCGATTTGATTGTGTTGAATGACAAAGCCAGATCACGGGAGAAGCGGTACATGTACCCAATAACTTTGGTGACTCCGAAGTTATGACTTTAGCTAAATGCATGTGCATGACGTGCCATGACGTACATCCATGGTCCAGCGGTGTCATGAAAGACATCCTTCTGTCTGCCGCGCTTCATGGGCGGCTTCTGCTGTGTGCAGAAACGATTGGATACATCCGTGGACTGGATCCGGGAGAGCCTACCTGTAGCCTTGAGCGATGATGCCGATTACGGAGCCAGTCGTTTTGCTCCACGTGTCGCGGACATGGGGAGTCCTGGATCCAAAGCCAAGAGCCAGGTCCGAGCTCGTGAAGGCCGGGACGACTTCGCAGAGGAAGTGGCTTTCCAGATCGCCAGCGATCGCCAGGGCGATTTCCGCGAGCGACGGTGAGCGGTCCAAAACCACCGAGCAAATTTTCTTTCCCAGCCAAGCCATTTCCAAGTCTTTTGTAAGTTTTTTTTGTTATTTCAGAGAAGCGCTTCCTTGGCTTCGACAGGTCAGACTTGGTCGAGGCGGCATCCTGGTTGCCTGTTCTCTACGAGGTGTGTCCACCGGGCCCAGATGACATGCCGCATGTGGCCAAGGCCGTTCACAGAAAGACCAAGGTGCCGCGGCAACTTGCCAGCTTCCGGAAGCCTTCCGGATCAGCCGCGCAGGAACGGCTGCACTCCTTCATTGCTTCACTCCAGAAAATCTCTGCCGAGCACGAGGCGGTGGCCAAAGTCTTGGAGGTCTTTGAGGACTATCTCAACGTCCACCTTATTCAAGAGCTGTGCACAGGAGGGTCTGTCTACGAACGGATATTGGAGCGCCAGTACTTCACCGAGCAGGAGGCAGCAGTGCTCGTGAAGCACATGCTGCAAGCTTTGGCGCCATTTCATGAGAACCATCTGTACCACGGCAGCCGCTCGGTGCTGCCGTATAGGTTTTCTGAATTCCCCTGCCCCTAAATATTGAAAACGGCTAGTAAGGCTATTCGGGTTGTTTTTTGATTTTTGATGCGAGGTTTGAGCCCGGAGTGCTTCCGGTTCTTGAACGCCTCGCCCCACGCGCCTCTGAAGCTCGTAGACTTCGGTCTCGAGCTGAAGGCCCATCGTTGGAACGCCGTGGAACATCTCAGCGGCCCCGACTTGCAAAGCCCCTGCCTGGGCCTGAGATGCCTGAGAGGCTTCAGAGAGAGAGAGAGAGCTCAGAGCACTTCTTCCTCTTTTGCCTTTTGTTTCAGCTTGCGCGGTTCTCTTGCATTTATCTTCAGGTCTTCCCGAGTTCTTCGAGACTTGCAAGCTGGTCTTTTGCGCTCCCGACTTTGCGCCGCCCCAGCAAACGAGGCCGTGGGTTCGACTCGCGTCAGCACGGCCCGGCCACGGCCACGGCCACGGCCGAGTTTCGTTTCGATTTCGGAGCTTTGCCTTCGGAAGGCGAAAGAAGGATTCGACCGAGTCGGTGGTCGAGATGGCGGCCTATGCGCACGAGGTGCCGGAGGTGAGGGGCCCAAAGCCAGATAGTTATGCTTGTGAAAGAAGGCTTTTGCCTCGAGCCGTTTCGGTCGAAGAGGGAAGAGGGTTGTTCTTGGTCCGACAACGTCGACAACCAAATCCATACACACTTGCAACGGAGAGGATTCAGACCCAGCACGAACCCAAGCTCGAACCCACGACTGGGGTCGACATGAAGTGCGCCATGTGTAACGTCACCTCCTCAGCCTCAGGAGCAGGACGGAGTCAACCTCTTGGACGAAGAGGTGCTGGCGAATGTCCTGAGCGAGCATGCCGACTGGGTTGAGGAGCATCGACGGGTGTGTGAAAGGCTTTTTGAGGATTCGTTCTCGCTGAAAGGAGCAGCGGTCCGTCATGGCGGGTTCCACGAGTTTCTCCACAAAGAACGAGGCTGCCGACATATGGAGCATTGGAGCTATAGCCTTCCTACTTCTGTGTGACTTTTCGGCAGGTAAAAATTCAGCTAAAAATTAGTGAGACGTTTGCGTCTCATAGGAGCATCGCCCTTGATCTACTTCGATTACCGCGTTTTTTGGTTGCTTGATGCAGTCTGGACCGTCTGGGTCTTCCGGAGCAAAGGTGGCTACCCTCCATTCTTTGCTCCATCGCGGAATGCCATCCTTGGCCGCATTCATCGCGGGGAAGTGTCCTTCGATCCGCCTTTCTGGTCCAAGATTTCTGAGGAGGTGCCCCTTAAAATAGCCTTGGGGCCATATATGCACTTTCTTGGCAGAGGTTCTCTCCATTCTGTAATGTTAGCTGTAGGTTCTCACAGCAGACATGGTATTGGAGGCGAAGAGCTTCGTGTCCAGCTGCTTGCAACAATCCTTCTGGGATCGCTGCAGCCTTCAGGCCGGCGTTGTGAAGGTTACAGCCAGGCCTTGAGCCAACGTTAGGCTCTGCTTAGGCACGGCTTGGGGAGCAGGCGCAGTAGGCTTAGGCTCTCGCCCGTTGCAGGAAGCCCTGAACCACCCGTGGATCCTGCGCCTCGCCGACAGCTCACCATCAGGATCCATGTTCGCCTCCTTTATGCTGAACTTGCGCCGCTTCTACCGCACTTCCCTGATAGAGATCTACACAGCCAGAATCCTTGCTACCCAGTTCCGCAGGGAAGAGCTGCATGAGTTCCTCTGTCGGTGCAGGGAGATCGACATGGCGAGCAGTGGCTTCTTCACAGCCTCGGATCTGAAGCACATACTCTCTGCTTTGGGCCATCCTCAAATTGCCGAAGCTATATCAAGCCGTTTCCTGCAGACCTTCAGGCACCCAGGCGAGTCTTACATTGACTACATGGCCCTGCTGGATTCAGTCCGGCTCCGGCAGCAGCGCATGTTCGAGGACGAGCTCTGGCGCCACTTTCAGCGTGTCCTGCAGAGTAGTGGGCGCTGTGACGTGGATGGCATCTGCAGCTCCCTCTTCGTCAAGGATCTGGCCATCGCCGCTCGGCGAGTGGAATTTTGCTCCAGAGCGAAGCACCTTGGCCCTGCTATGTCCCGCTCAGCTGCAGGTCTTCGGCGACCCGGTGATCGTGGGCCTTCTGATGCGGGAGATCCCAGACAGCCCCGGCCTCGAAGAGCCTCAGCTGCAGCAGGCAGCAGGTTGCAGGAGCAGAAGTGTTCAAGTGCATGCAGCTCAGCTCGCTCTCTTCTCTTTGCTCCGAGGATGCCAGCGTCTGCCACCGCCTTCAGGTGGGGCTCCGGTCCGAGTGCGCCCTGCGCGGAACCTCGCAGCTGGACTTTCGGACGCTCTGCTCTGTGCTCCTCCAGCAGCTCCGCCAGTTCTGACAAGTCTTCGCCAATGTGCGGAAGACGATCACGACCTTCGCCTCCGCGGCACAAAAAGCGCTGAGCGAGGGAGAGGGAAAAGGCAAGGGGGTGATGGGTGTCCTAAGGGTCGCTCTCTCTCTGCTGGTCAGGCCTTGAATGAACTGCTGCGATCAAGCTGCGGTGTAGTTGTGAAGTGTGCGAAATGAGCAATGGGACGGGGTTGGGAGGCCAGAGGCCCCCCCTGTGGGGCCCCCGTACATGGCTATTAGATTTGCAGCCTTGTACGAAGGGTTTTCAACGAAACATCTTCTGCTTAGCCGGGACTCGAGCCATGCCGGCCATCGAAGCGGTGGCAGACCTCGGCGCTCTCAATAAGTGGGCCTGCGAATACCATATCGCCTCAGAGGCCTGGCTGCTCATATGTTTCTCCCGTGCTCTGCTTGAAATGTGGCAGACAGGCCCTGGAACCCAGGCGGAAAGCACGCGGAGTTCCTTGGTGCGGACATGCTTGTACTGATAGAAGGGTGACGGCCGGCATCGTAGCACAATCCCAGGCATCCAAGCCCTTAGCAGACTTGGCTGTGACCCCGCAGCTGTCCCGCGGAAGCACCGTGGAAGGTGGGAAGCACGGAAAGCATCGATTGTCTGTCTTACGTTCGAGCCGGTGGCGATGTGCTCCACAGGAGTTGGCTCCCGCAGTGGCTCGCTCGAAGCGCCCTTGAGGGACGAGGTGAGTTGGAGCTTGTCGCATTTTCCCGGTACAACGTGGCATGGACGACAATTGCAATATTGTTCATGCAGGAGCGGTGGTCCGCCGCCACCACGCCGCCCGGGGCCCAAAGGTCGTTGCGTCTGCGTTGCCGAAGCTGGCGTGCTTGCACTCGCATTCTTGTGCTTGGAGCCTTTTGAGGAAAGGAGACCTGATGTGTCGGATTCCAAGCAGGGGATCCCAGGCGCGTTCCTCCAGAAGCACCAAGGACAGATCTCAGACTCAAGCAAGAGCCTTCCAGAAGCGAACCACTAAGCGGCGAGATCTCTGCTCTTCCGTTCTTTTTCTCCTCCGCCTTTGTTGAGGAGCCCGTTCCTCATAGCCCGAGCAGCTCGGCGCTGGCCCTGCCCACTGCGAGCGAGGAGACGCCGAGCCGAGCCAAGCAAAAGCCATCAAAAGCCAGAAAGGCATGGAGCGATCGCAACCTTGTGTTCAGGAGCCCGCTCCAGCCGGCCGCTTGAACCTCTCCGATTGTGAAGACCGGACCGAGGCGCCCGCCGAATTCCGAAGCCGCAGAACGCGTGGGGCGACCCCTTTCAGGAGCCCGGCGCTTGGGCCCTTGCCATCCGGGTGGACGAGGAGACCCCTTCGAAGGAGACTCCGTCTGCTCTGGCGCTGGCGACCAGATCGGAAGACCTGGCACTCGTGCCGGTGTGCCTTGGTGGAGTTTGAAACCCAGCTTACGCTTACTGGCTTGTGTCTCTGGGCTTAGGGCACGGCCGTCACCCAAAACACGGCGGATGAAGACAGAGTTGCTCGCTACGCACCCGTGGCTGCAGCAGCTCCAGCAGAGGCCTGGACAGCGACAGCGGGAGAGATGCTTCATGCTCTGCCATGCTCTGCCTCTGTGAGGTCCCTGCATGGGTCTGTGCCCAGCTCTCCAAGCGGCACCCGTTCGTTCGGAGGGAAGCAGGTGCGCCTGAAGCGAGTCACGCAGAGTCTCTTGAGAATGACGGAGACGGAGGCATCATCGACCTCAAGCCTGCCTCCCTTGGACAACCTGCAGATTCAGCTCCACGATGGTCAGAAGATGGAGGCAGCGGTCGGCTACATCTCTGCAGCTTCTGAAGCCTTAAGTGCCGAGTTGGTGGCCTATGCCTCCCCACGAGCAGCTTCTCGTGGATCAGCTGCTGTAGAGGACTCGGCGGAGAGACTCAAAGCAAGAAGTCTTGTCACGCGAAGCAAAACTGGTAGCCGGGTAGCCTCTTGAAGCTTGGAAGGAGCCGAAGGCCGTCACGAGGCAGAGGGGATGATGTATTCCTCTTGTCTATGCTTTCCAGCTTTCCGAATTCTAGTCCAGGCCACTGCGGGAAACCTGGAGCAGCAAAGACGAGATGGCGCTGAAAGAAGTCGCCGCCGGGACCGAACGACAAGAGGAGGGTCTCCTGCCCCAGAGCATCCGCTCCATGGACTACTGGCGTGCCACGGAGCTTTTCCACCTCTTCGATCGGCGCACAGGTCCCGGGGCCGCGGGGGCGGCATTTTCTGCTTTTGGGACTTTGGGCCCTTCCTTTCGAGGCGAGCTGGACAAGCTCGGGTTCTACCACTTGCTGACGGCTGCCTCACGTGACAGGGAGAGCATTGCAAGGAGACGGAGCGACGCCCGGGCCAACAGAAGGGGGAGATCAGGGTTGGAGTCCTTCAGACCAAAGCCTCGCAACCCCCATCCCCCCTCCCCCACAGCGCTAGCCGCTGGCAGCTAGCCTTCTTGCATTGCGGAGTTGTGGAGTGCTTCTTCGACCAGGGATTGGTGTTAGCAGGCGCAGCAGCCTTGGGCAAGCATCGTTGCCGCAGGGGCTGGCTCTTTCGCATATGGGACATACTGAAACACATGTGTGTTTCCATGCGACGCTGCGCGGAAAAAAGAAAGAGCAAGAGCCAACCATCAGGCCCTTGGAACTGTCATGCTCTCCTTCAGCTTGTTCCTGGCCCAGGATCGGATTTTTGATGAGATCGACATCGACAGCTCCGGAAAGACGCTTTCATGAGTTTTCTGCATGGCAGCGCAGGGCTGGGGATCTGGAAGCCAAGGATCGACAGGGAGGAGTTCTTGGGATGGGTCTTCCAGACCAACAACAGCTTTCTCAGCTCAGTGAGGAGGCCGGGACGCCCCGGGGCGACACTGGGCTTGTTGCGCCTTCGCGCGGGTTCCTCGAAGGCGATTGGAGACCATGGACCAGGTGAAGGTGAAGGCTTTGTTCGAGCAGATGGACTCCCGGCAAGGTTTGGCCGCCACAAATCAAATGTCTTGTTGTCAGATAACTCCCTTGATGGTATGTGTGCAAGGCTGCACTTTTGGACATTCGCAGTGCGACTATTGTAGTGCTGTTACGCATCAAGCCAGCGACATCGCAGTGCAGCAGCCGAGGACCACGACGGCAACAAGGTCGTCGACAAATTTGAGTTTTGGGATTTCGTTGAGAAGTTTAGTCCTGGGATGCTGTCTGGCACTCAGAAGACTCCAGGCAGTGATTGTCTCCAATCAACGTCCCAAGCATAGGCCTAGGTTGTTGCGTGGGTCAGTGGAGGGCTTCGTCTTTGTCTGTCCGCTTTCGACCTTTCGATGTTAGATGGTTGGCACACCACCATTTCCTCCTTCGTGTCTAGTTGTGGCATTCCTCAAGTTCTCCTGTTGGGGAGTTGCCGTATCCACGCGACTCTTGGGCCCTCGGCTGTGGCATTTGAGGTCTCGGTCAGCGAGCGATGAGCTTCACGAATTTATCGATGCGGACAAGTCAGGAGGTATCGCCGGAGACTCGGTGACTGGAGCATCGGCACTCTTGCAGTGTCGCAAAGATACCGGCTCCCCTTGAAAGGAGAGAGTCCGTTCGACGTACACACCAGACATCAGATCAGAAATCGTCCAGTATTGTCTCACGCAGACTGTGTATGTCCTGCTCAGTGAGCAGCTGGAGACAGCACGAGTAGATTTTTGGACTTAGGGTCCTCGCCCAGTGGCCTGCCACCATCAGTCGAAATGCAGAGCCTCCATCACAAACACTTTGTTTAGTTGTACCGGCACCGTCTGCTTGGCAGAACTTTGTCAGCCCAGAAGCCTAGCAACCCGACGGAAGACGTTGGGTAAGTGAAACAGTACGGAAGACTAGGACTCCGAGAGTGAGATTCTTCCACTCTCCACGGTGGACACCGGCACTGCAGGATGTGGACGAATTCCTGAATTGGGTGCATCCTGGACGGGAGCTCAAGATGCTCCGGGCAGAGGCGCGTCACGACAAGGTGCTTCTCTCAGACCACTCCCATGGCGATGCTTTTGTCTGTCGTGCACGGCGCTTTTCTCGAACCGAGGGGATCACGGAAAAGGTGGCGACGAACATGGTGGCGGTGGACGAGGCGCTTGCCCCGACAGACCGGACGATCATCTGATCTTCCGTGCTTGGAGTCTCCATCTCCGAGCCATCTCCCAGGCTAAAGGCTAAAGCGGCTGAAGGCATGCTTGAAAGAACAGTAAATAGTGACAATAGTGCAGCATAGAGCTGAAACGAGCAAGAACGTACTGGCACCGACCTGACAGAACTCCTACGTGGCTCCCAAGAAGCCGCTCATGGAGACGGAGCCTGGCAAGCCCGTGGTCCTGGAATTCTGGAGACTCGGCCGAAAACCAGAAGCCCCAAGCTCTCTACCCCGTCGCCTCCGACGCTAACTGCGCTCTCTGCCTGTCCCTCTGCTCGTGTTTCCAGGATTGGCAGCGAATGGACTCCGGCCTTCGAGTCGATGAAGCGGAGCCTCCGCAACGTCTTCAGCCCGCAACAGATCAGGCCCGGCCCGGGCCATGGGGCGGGGGGACGGGACCGCCGATCAAAGCTGCCCCCGCTGTTGTGGAGGTTTCAGAGTCGGCGAGATCCCCATGTTGTCCACACCTGCTCAAAGCTCATCGCCAAGGCGGGGGGAGGGGGGGAAGGGGGGAGGAATTTTGATCCACGGCCCAAGCTGCAACTTCGACTTGAAGAAGCGCGACGCTGCAATGCTAGCCTCGAAGGTCTTCGGCCTAAATCTGCCAAAGATCAGAAAAGCAGTATCTCAGTTCCCTCCTATGCTTCGGGAGGGAAGGGAGTTGGGAGCATGCTGGGTTGCACTGCCTATTCAAATTATCAGGTTGCGCACTCATGATCAGGTTGCGCACTCACTGCACGCAACGTGTGTTTCATGCAGTTCGGGCGTGTGTTCCTGTTTTGTTCACTCTGTCTTATCACGTCCTATGCGTGGGAGTTTGCAGTTCGCTAGCTACTGTATATCACTGTATAGAGTCACATCATGGAGACTGCCGAGAAAGACCCTGCGCCTGAGATTTACGCGTCCTGTCAGGTTCGAACAAAACAGTGTTTAGCTGGCAGTCACTCGCGCGGCACTGCTAAGACTCGGACGTGTTGGTCAATCCAAACCAGACTTGCATTCATTACTCTTTCAGGGTTCGGCAAAATGTTGCGGGCCTTCAGGTTCAATAAGGCTGAAATGGGTCGCGGCTGGAGCGCATAACAGCAACATCAAGTGGCTCTTGGCTAGACTTAGTTGCCAAGACGAAGATGTGGCAGACCTCCCCCTTGAAGGAAGGCAGCCTGAAAGCACTCCGCTGTAGAGCCGCGACTGACCTGAAGCTTGTCCCTTCACCGTGCATCTGTCTATCGCTCTCAGCTATATGGGGGTTGATGAAAATGCTGGTCTGCGTTGTAGTATATTCCTTCTAGTTTAGGAAACCAAAAGGGGCCCATCATGTTGATCAACCCCCATATCATCCCGATATCCAATCTTCCCTCCGTCCATTCTGGGCACAGGTCGGTCGTGGCATCATCCTCTGGGACAGAGACTCGATGCTGATGTTCAAGGACGATCCGTTCATGAACCAGGCGCCTTCTACGTAATCTTCGTTCAGAGCGTTTGGGACGAAAGCTCCTGCATAGTATGGTGAGGAGGAGGTGGGGGAAAGAGGAAGCGAACGACTTTTCAATTGGCTTCCTAGTCGAACCTGGTTGTCATCCGCAAATATCGTTGGCTTTCCTGTGGTTCTTACTCCCCTTGCATGATTGCTGGTTGCTCTCTCAGATGTTCTTCTTACCCTGCTGCCGCGAGAACGCTTGTGGTTATTGTCGTGGTCATTGCAGTGGCACGGCCCAGGTGGCTGTTGTGGTTGCTTTATTTCGAGTCGCATTTCGGGAACTACGCTGGCGCTTGCATTGCAGCAGGTTCTATGTGTGAAAGGGAAGTCTCAAGTCTGGATTTTCGACAACACATGTCGGCACAGGCAACTGCCGGCAAGTGGCTCAAGGAGGTGCTTCTCCAATGTCTTCCGGATGTTATAAACGCATCCTGGCGAAGAGATAATGGTGCCTGGTTGTACATAGTCCGAGTCTTGTGACTGCCAGGGTCCGGACGGGCAGAATAGAACGATGGAAGTCCTGCTTGGTAGGAAACAGCCTGCATGTGCAACAGTCTTCGCATGCAAGCGTTCCTTTGAGTTTTGAAGCCCTTCTCCACGCATCCGCTGCATCTTCCCGTTTTTCAGAGCAAACCTGGGCTGGTAGCGGCCCAACAGCCCACAAGCAGAAGTCTTTCACTCCAGGCTGCCAATGTCAGGCTGCTGAAGCGGAAGAAGTTGCACGTTTGTTTTGCTGCTTGGCGGAGTTGCTTTGACGGGGAAGTGTGCTGCCCCTCGTGACCTGCTTCCCAAATCAGACCACGACACCGAGGAATGCGGAAAAGCTTTGGAAGGCCTTTGGAGACCATCATTGTTGTAACCACGTGACGATGCATGCGCTATCAAGGCTCGCGATACATGAATGTCTTGGAGTACAAGGTGTGCAGCAAGCTGCTCGCCCGCAACAATGTGAAGTGCAAGGTGGTCAGAGGTCGGAAGGTTTTGCCAAGTCCTTCAGGCACTGCGCGGGACTGCTGAAGGCACGTGCGGTGATTGAGGACTGATGCAGAAGCACATAGATGTGCTTCCGCAACCCAGCAAGCCGTGAACAGATGTTCAAGGGGACGTCTGTGGCTTCTGGCTGATCGTCATTTACACGTTGGATTGTGATCTGTTGGACACTTCTTTCCATCAGAGTAGTACCTGTTGGCCACAGGGGCTTGAGTGGCATGATTGGGGCAGGATTTTGTAGGGTGGTCTAGAGTTTCCGTAGAGTGTAGCCAAGATTAGCGAAATGCATGGCGATTGCCAGCTGTGGAGTAGCTTTTCAATACCCTTTTTCCTGCATGCTTAATGTTGCTGGCGGAGAATGCATGGAGGCATGCCTGCAGATTAGCTTGAAGCTTTGGTGATCCACCGCAGCCATGCTGCGATGCACAGTCTTTGGGTGAGCTGTCATGGTTCCGAAGAAGATCGAGTTGTCCCCCAACCACGTTTGTAGCCTGTGTATAGAAGGCCCACTGAAGCCATTCCGGAGATCTAGGAACAGTCGGGCAGCTGCGTGGCCCTTCCGGCAGAAATCGACGTGTGTTCCCGTGGTTACACCATGTGCGCCACTCCTTCAAAAGGTTGATGGCTGCACTGCACCACATGCAGTCGATTCCGAGAAAAAACTATTCAGGGCATTGTCATTGAAATTAAGATCTGAGACGGACGCTGAAGTCGCTAGCAGGGCCAAGCCTAACAATGTATGTTAGAGGGGCCCGTATGGCATTTGTGAAAATACATTTCTCGGGTCGGGAAGATTTAATGTATAAACGCGACCCATTCACTTGTACACACATACACACACACACACACACACACACGCACACACAACCACACACGCATTGAGAGGCAGCAGGCCAGGCTGGAATGTATATACTCAGGGGGTTACGTGCTAGACCCCCACCAGATTTACATTCCTGGTTCGGGCGTGAATTCCGGAGAGCCTTGGTGCAGACATATGTGTGCATTCCTGGGGAGCATGACTGTATTAGTGCCGTATTCCTTCTTTTCGGGAAGCCCGAAACGCATACACCTAGGGGGTTTGCCGGCAAGACCCCCCAAATATACATTCGTTGAAGTTGGCGAAACAACCGGGCTCCAGGCCCTCCGCGCTAAGTTGGCACCGGAGCCTACTTTTTCGGGTGTATTATGCCGAGGACCGCTGGCCCGCTTCCTGCCCCTCGAGATGGAGAAGAACCCGGCAAGAACCGACGACACCTCTTTCGAGGAGACAAGCACGACAGCGACGACTGTCTCAGCAGATGGGGGGACCGCCCAGCAAGGCCCGAGTCGGAGCCCGACCTTGCCGACAACTGCACCTCCACGACCTGTACCAGCGAGGACCCTTCCAAGCCGACCTTCTTGAAGAGCTCGTGCCCCGCTTCTCCACCTTCCTCCTCTGGTGCGGCGACACCGGCTCGGACTACGGCTTTCCCCGCGGCAGGTTGGACTACGCCCGCGTTCTGCCACGACCTGGAAGTCTCAGATGGACCCGGAGAAAGGAGTTCGTTGGCGCGGCGGCGCTCTGAAGGCGGAGTTGGAAGTACGACAGCCAGGACCCCGTGCTTACTCCAAGTACGCCAAGAAGGTGGCCTTTTGGAGGATCCAGATCGCCAGCTTTATGACCCTTCGCGAAGCGCAAATGTCTCAATGACTACGAGAATATGCAGCGGCAACGGCCGACGAGCCCATCACCCGGCAAGGTGACGGTAAACGCAAGGACAGTGCCGCGAGCTTTGCTGCAGCGCCGGCTGGATATCGCCCAAGGCCACGGGGGCATGGGAGCGAATTGCCGGGTTTACATCACGGACGACAACCACCTCGTCAAGCCGGACAAGGAAGGCCAGGAAGCCGATGACGGCGAGCAGCCAGCCGAGTCTGAAGCCGAAGCGCTGGCGCACGCGGCCGAGGTCATGCGGAAGGTAGTGGGATGAAGCTGGGGCGCAAGTTCACAGGCCAGCTGGGCAAGGACATCGGGGCACAGACTGATTGCGCAAAATTTGCGGCCAGCTGGGCCAGTGGAAAGGCGACCTCCAGTGCCCGGGTTCCGGCAGCGCTCCGAAAAGCGCATCTGCCGAGATGTGCTGAGTTTACAACCGAAAATCCAACAAGTACAAACAACATTGCTTTCAACTTTAAGCGCGACTTGACTTAGGGCGCGCTGGTTTCCGCGCAGCCCGCTTTTGTCCTGGCTGCTATAGCTTAACATCTGCGAGTTTCATCCTCAGTGACTCAGGGGTTGTAAGTCGAAATCATCAATGTGCGTGGCATGGCGAGTCTGATTGTAAGCTTGGTGTCCAGCGATACCTGGGCAACTGCAGCAGTTCGCGTCGAGCCTAGCTCGGTGCAGTGACATGTCTTTTGATAGAAAATGCCCGGTGCAGCTGAGGTGCAGCTAACCTGGTGGAAGAGCACTGGGATGCATCCTGGAATGCCTGTCCTTCGCTCGACCGGGTGAGCCTTCGCTTGGCACCGGCTTCCTGGATCCAAGCACTTGAGTCTCGGTGCGAGAAGGCCGCGGCATCTTTGTTCTATCGGTGCTCTGATGTAACCTCGGCGTCCAGGCACATGCAGATTTATGTTTTTTTTGAATGATTTTGGCTGCCTAGCCTTACCCTCGCCTTGGAAACTCATGGTTTTGCTAAGGAAATCCTATGAAAATCACTGAAAATCCATGAGTTTCCGCGTAAGATTTTCTAGCAAACCTACGATTTTCCTACCAGTTTCTTGGCCTGGGCTAGCCAAATCATAAACAGCCAAGATAGAAATTCATAAACTTGCTATATTATGTCTTGTTATGATTTTCGCTGCCTGGCCCAGCCTGGATTTGGGAAGGCATGGATTTGCTAGGCAAATCCTATGAAAATAACAGAAAACCCGTGAATTTCCTAGGAAAGTGTAGGTGTTCCAGGATCTTGCAAGGAAATCCATGCAAATTCCCGCAAAATCCATGATTTCCTAGGAAAACCTACGATTATCCTAAAATTATCTAGCAAAATTGCTTTTTAAAAGACATAAAAACAATTTATGATTTTTGTCTATGTTTTTTTCTATGATGTTCGCTGCCTCCGAGCCTTGCCTCGGAAAAGCATGGTTTTGCCAGGGAAATCCTATGACCATGAATGTCCTAGGAAAGCGTAGGATTTTCCTGGGACTTTGCTAGGAAATCCTTGCAAATTCCTGCAACATCCATGGTTTCCTAAGGAAACCTAGGATTGTCCTAACCATCTCCTAGCCCGGGCTAGCCAAATCATAAAAAACAAAATTTATGGAAAATTGTGAACTTTTATGTGTTTATGATTTGGCTAGCCCGAGCCAGGAAATCCTAGGAAACTCCTAGGTTGTTATTTTTGGCTTTTATGATTTGGCTAGCCCGAGCCAGGAAATATTAAGAAAATCCTATGTTGTTAAATCAATGGCAAATTCCTGCAAAATCTATGATTTCCTAGGCACATCTCTAACTGCAAGCGCAAAAAGGAAACATAAACGACAGACATGCAAAGCGCAAAAAACATAAATATTTCATAAATATTTCATAAATGTTTCGTAAACCTGAAACCGCAAGCGTAGCAAACCGTCAGTGCAATACCTTTTAAAAAAACACAAACTAATCATAAAAGACATTCCCAAGACGTCCATGATGTTTTGCACATTAGATCCTTTCAACCTTCCAACCCTATGCACATCGGTGCCAATACGTTTTTGGAATGCGGTCCTCGATGCCACAGAAGACCGCATGCCGATGGCCAAATTGTGTGCATGAAAGGCTGTCGCAAGATGAATCCCCATACGGCAAGTTTTGGCAGTTCGGTGCTCAGGTGATGCGGACCACCAAGCACAGCAGTCAAGACGTCATGATGTATCTTTTCGCCAAGCATGGAACCCTTCCACGTGTGCTGCCTGAGACACTGGGAACGCACTTATCTGATTTTTGTTTGATTCGACGTGGCAATCAATGCAAGCAGCCCTGACCGTTTGCATATTTGGAGGTCCGGCTTCAGGGAAATACGGAACCTAGCAACGGAGGACCTACAATGGCGCTTCGCGTTTCCTGTTGCCGGCAGCCCAGAACGTTACACGCATAGCCTCATGGCATTTTTGCAATTGACGCACGGCTGGTGGTTTGGCTTCCTTCTTAAGGGATATCACTCACTGTCACTCCTGCAAGCGGAGTCGTGGTGTGTCAACCGTATTTTGGTGAGTCAATGTGCGAGACCATGCATCGTAGGTTAGTCCTGTCAAGCGTGAGGCAAAAAACTCATTCACAGTGTCAAACAGACACACATACATGCATACATCCAAAAACATACATACATACATACATGCATACATACATAAACATACATACATACATACATACATACATACATACTACATACATACATACATACATACTTACATACATACATGCATACATATATACATACGCACATACATTTCATTACATTACACATTACATTACTTTTCATTTCATTACATTTCATTACATTCCAGTACATTTCAATACAGGTCAGTACATTGCATTACATTGCATTACATTGCATTACATTGCATTACATTGCGTTACATTGCATTACATTGCATTACATTGCATTACATTGCATTTCACTACCTTTCACTACCTTCCACTATCATTCACTACCTTTCACTACCGTTCACTACCTTTCATTACATGTCATTACATGTCATTACATTTCATTACATTTCATTA